CTCTCTCTCTCTCTCTCTCTCTCTCTCTCTCTCTCTCTCTCTCTCTCGGGTCTCACTGTGTGGGCCCAGACTAGCCTGGAACTGGCAACCAGTCTCCTGCTTCTGCTTCCTAAATACTGTTATTCCAAGCAAGTATCTCCATGCCTGGCACAGACTAAACACATAGCACTCTCTGACACCACCTCCTGGACCTCACACACCCTGAGAGGAAGATTTCATAACTTCAGCTGTCAGGAGAGAGAGCTGAGATTCTGAGGGGGCCTTGAAGTCAGCAGCAGCAGGGTGGGGACCCAGGGATTATCAGGCCGCCACCAGAGACACCTAGGAGATCTTCCTGGGCTGAGGCTAAAAGCTGCTCTTGGACCCGGGAGCTGGCTGCTTCCCTCAGCCCAGTCCTGACATTCTGAGCTGTGCTCCTGCAGTGAAGTCCCCTGCTGTCCCTTTCCCTGTGTGACTTTTGGCAAATGGCTTGTCTCTTACAAGTCTGCTTCCCTAATCAGGTCGCTCTTCCCTGCCTCCCTCCTGAGAAGCCCCACAGGATGTGAAAAGATAACCCGTGGGACAAGCCAGGTTATCCAGAGACCAGGTGACCATGACTCACCTCCAGAGGATGGCGTGATGCTCTGTGAGAAGCCGGAGGAGAAGGACAGAAGAACCACGGGGTACACGGTCCAGGAGAGGTACCGGAGCAGGTGGCCATCCCCAATCTCCCTGTACAGCCACTTGTGTGCTGGAGGACGCCCAGCAGTCAGGGAGCCACCCAGAGCCTCAGCCCCGGGGGCAGACACTACGGTGCCCACTTATAAACCAGGAAAGGGCCCAAAGTCACCCACTGAGAGGAGGGTGACCAGGTTCCTAGGTCCATATCTGTTTTCCAGCTTCCTGCTTGTGGGACTTCAGCTCAGTGACTTGACTGAGCCTCAGTTTCCCATCTGTCCAGTAGCCAGTGATGGCACTTACCCATACTCCCCAACCCCAGGTCCCTGAAAGACCAAAAGGGCGGTGAGGCAGCCGAGAGTCCAGAGGAAGTGAGCGCCTGCTGAGCAGGCAGCATGGAGGGACAGGAGAAAGATGGGGATGGGACAATAGCCATAAGTAAAGTAAGACATTCAGGATCTCTCCCATTGTGTAGATGGAATGACTGAGGCCCAGAGAGGGGAAGGAACCTTGACAGGGTCACACGGCTGGTGAGATATGAAGCCAGCACCAACTCCAGGCCTGGTTCCCCACAGTCTCGCCCCACTGCCCATGGCTGTCCGGCTGGTATCCCGAGCGTGTACAGGAATCCCATCGCCCCGAGCAATGTGTGCTGGAGAGGCCTTACCTCTGACCACGCGCCCGATAGCGAAGTTCATGGCGTAGCTGATCAGAGCCATGAGCACTCCGAGAGCCACCAGGAAGTACCAGTCCTCACCCACGCGGAACAGCCGCTCTTTCAGCCACTCTAGGCCCCCTGGACAGGACACTGGGGTCACAGCCACTTCCCTGTGGGCTGCTCCGGCTCTGGGTAGCCACAGCAAGCTAGGGGCCCAGAGTTGGAGTCTGAGGTGATGAGGAGGGACTCTGGCTCATGGGAGAGGCTGAGCGGGATGTGTAGAAAGTGAAGTGGGTTCCAGGTAGGTGTCCCTCCACCTCAGGTCACACTAGAGCCTCACAGAAGGTTGGTCAAGGTGGCAGAGGAGGACGAGGTACTATACCTGTTACTGATATCTCATTAGAGTCTGAGGCTTAGCAACCATGAAGGGAAGCATAGGACCTTGCCACCCCCAGGGCCTATGGGCCATCTGCACTTCAGCCCCCCCCCCCACCCCGCTATCCCCTTGGCCTCTGGCTGCCAGCCCAGCCTAGGAAGCTGGCCCTCTCTGGCTGTAGACATCAGCACTGGGGCCTGTGTTCTGCCAACTATAAGGATGGGTCAGGTTCTAAGCAGACAGAAGTGAACAGAGTGGTCTTGGGTCTAGGGTCACTGATGTCCTGAGAGGACTTCATGGGGGTGGGGGAGAGGAGGGGTTGGGGAAGTGGGACCAGCTCGCACCTCTGATGCCTCGGCGGATGCGAGGACACGGACCCCATAGCTCTTGCAGAGTCACCGGCTTCCCTGAGGAGCCCTCACGTAGCCCCACCAGCTCTTCCATCCGTCCTGGGATAACAGATCGACAACTGCTTGGTGACAGCCGCTCTGTGCTTCTGGGTTCTTCCAGTACTCCACCTTCTGAACTGAAGACAGAGCCTTATGCTCTTGGGTGGGTGTGGGCTGCTGGTGTGTGGGGTGTTATCTGGAGGGTTCACCCGTCTCTGTGTGCTCTCTACAAAGGCTCTGATACCCAGGAGGTGCCTGTTGTACCGCATGTCTGGAGCGGAGCTTCTAGATTCACGTCTGGAAGCAGGTGGGATGGGGTAGGATCCTAATCCCTTTCAGAAACTCTTTTCGTGCTGGGGCTTCCTGCTGCTGCCCTCCTGGGATTCTAGGCTGCTCAGAGCACTCATTTTGCTCAGGGGTGACCCTGTCACTTCGTCCCCATGGACAATTCTAATGTCCCATACCCATCCCTCAGTACCCCATGTTCCTCAGCTCAGTTCCACCAAGAGCAGGAAGCCTCCAGACCCAGAAAGAAGTCCTTGGGTGGTAGTGAGCTTCTGTAACCTCTCCTATCTGCATCCTTTCTGCCTGCCCTGATCCTGGCAGGCCCCACCCAAGTTCAAGTCAGTGCCTTACCTCCCAGTCCGCCCTGCAGAGGTCCTGCCTGGCTGGTGTTCCTCTAACACAGAGTCTTTGTTTGAACAGCAGCAGCTCCTGTGCACCCGGACAGGTGCACATTCCACCAATCAAAGCCCTCCCCTCCCCTCCCCCTCCCAGGCTTGAGTTTACCGTGACCACTGAGAATGTTCCAGACAAACCAACCAGAACTTCCCCAGCCAACACAGCATGAAGAGAGGTGAGGAAGGGGTACGGGAGTATCTCAGATGTGACAGCTGGGCAGAGGGGCACTCATCTGTGTCACAGGACTCTGGGGACCCCTGGGGTCCAGTCTGGGGGCAGGAGCTGATGAACACACAGGACAGTGAAGGGGTCTCCTCTGCTGTAACCGAGCCTCAGGTCTCTCAGCTGGGCAATTGTTAAGAGATGCAGAGTACAGAAGAGACTGCCCGTGAAGGTGTGGGGGCACAGGGAGGGGAGTCTCCGTGGATGTCCATTCCTGGGAGCTAGGCACTTCCCAACACAGCTCAGAGCTTCCAAAACCCAGAATGATGGCCAGTTGCCCTGTTGGAAAGAAATGACCTTGTAGAACTGTGGGGCTTCCTGTCCAAGGTCACAGAAGCCACCTGGCACAGTGACATGCACCTGTGATGTCCCCTACTCTGGAGACTGAGGTAGGAGCATTGCTTGAAGCCCAGAGCTGCAGATCAATTTGAACAATATAGAAAGGGGGTATCTCAAGAAAAAAAATTAGAGTACGCTAAGAAGTTGTTTATTATTATTGTTGTTGTTGTTGTTATAACTTTATTAAGGGGTTAGTGAGAGACCATGGGAGATGACTGGAGAAAGTGAGGCCTTTCGCAGCTAGGTAAAGACTCTCCGGTTTAGCCCCGTTGCCAAAGTTTCGCTTTTGAGACACGGTCTTACTACGTAACCAAGTCCGGCCTCAAACTCCAAATCCTCCTGCCTCGCTTCCTAGGCACTGGAGTTACAGGCGTGGGAACTGTACCCACCAATAGAAAGATTTTTTAAAAATAAATTGTGGGGTCAGGGGGAGCTGGGGAAGTGGCTCAGAGGCTAGGTGTCTTTGTTGCACTTGCAGAAGACCCAAATTCAGTTTCTACCACCGTCTGTAGCCCCGGCTTCGGGTCTGATCCCTTTCCCACTCTCTGTGTCCTCTACCCCACCACACACACATGCACCCCCAGGTGGGTTCCGACCTCCTGTGCGTACAGGTTCAGGGGATCCCATTCACACACATACACGCACATAAAATATAAAATTTTAAAAAATTAATAAAATTAATTTTTTGGGCCAGCAAGACGACTCAATCTGTGAGGGAAGAGCTGACTCCTGCGGGTTGCCCTCTAAGATGTGTGCCCAGGTGCACGGGCACACGTGCACACACGCAGATAACTAGGTAGCATTTAAAAGCAGAGCAACTGCTGGCAGCCCAGGTGCACAGTGTATGTGAAGCCTACAGCACTGTGCTGTCATGTCCCCTAGGTCACACTGACATCGAAGGGAAGGGAAAGAGGATTGGTGTCCTTGTCCACGCAGGGGCGCCATCAGGACAGGACAGGAGCTTTGCTGAGTGTGCTGGAAGGATGGGAGGAGCCTGTGGAAAGTGGTGCCATAAAAGGAGGTTCCACGGGGTCCAAAAGGTGCAGGAGCAGCTTCTGGTGAACAAACACTGGGAGGAGGGACAGACACCTGGCACCAAGGAGCCTGGGCAGGTGCAGACCTGGCAGGACCCAAACTCCTGGGCTGAAGTAGTTCTCTGCCTCAGCCTCCTTCCTAGCAGGGAGTGCGGGTGGATGTAAACATGCCCAGTGGCTTAGATATTTTCTATTGCACTATATTTCTATGAAACACCACTCAAAAGCAATATGGGGAAGAAAGGGTTAACTTAGCTTGTACCTTAGCTTGGATCTCAGTCCAGTTGTGAATGGAAGTCAGGGCAGGACCCTGGAGGCAGGAGCAGAGGAAGATGCCCTGGAGAGATGCTGCTTACTGACTTGCTCTTCCCGGTTTGCTCAGCTCAGTTAAAAACAACAACAACAACTCAGAACCACCTGCCCTTGGGTGACACTGTGGATTATGGCCTGGGCACTCACATCAATTATTAATCAAGAAAAGGACGCACAGACTTAACTACAGGCCTACCAGATTAGGGAATTTTTTCAATTGAACTTCCCTCTTCCCAGATAACCCTAGTTTGTATCAACTTGATTTAAAAAAAAAAAAAAAAACTAACCATTGTAGTAGGGAATGGTGCCGGATCTCTATGAGTTCAAGGCCAGCCTAGTCTACAAAGTGAGTTCCAGGACAGCCAGGGCTGTTACACAGAGAAACCTTGTCTTGGAAAACCAAACATAAACAAATCTAACCACTGCAATTGACCCTTTGTCAACTGAGCACATGATACATCGCTATTAAACGGGAAAGTTTCCTTTCTTGTTTATCCCCGAGATCTGATGCTGATGATATCCCAACACAAAGAATAGTATATCTTCAAAAATCCCATAATCTTTAAAAAAAAAATTTAAACACTTTAAAATTTTGGTCTCTATAAAATAACCACGAGCGCCTGTAAAGTCGTAAGTAAGCTACATACTTCTTATTTCACGAGGGAAGGACCAGAACACTGTCAATCAAGGAGGAGCAAGTACCTCTGTATCTGCGGTCTCAGACCCGTGATCTTCTGGACTCACGGGGCCTTGGGCAGTGCCTCTTCTCCAGCTCTGCTGCTTGTCTTACAGACTCAAGCCACTGTCCTTGGTCAACTTCCCATTGTCCTAGAGCCTCAATAGAAAGAAGGTGTCTCCACAGTAGCCTCTCTTCAGGGTTTCTGACCGTGCCCCATGGTGCCAAGCCTCCACTTCTCTCCACAACTTCTTCATTCCTGGGGTCTCAATTGCAACTGAAGACACTGTTTATTGGCAAGGGTCTTCTTCAGTGTGTACTCTCAGGTCCTTGTCAGAGAGCGACTGACTGTGAGACATGGATTCGCCTCCGAGCTCTCAAGGTGGGCCACTGGTCCACACAGTTATTTTTATTCTAGAATCAAGCAGCTTTAGTAGTTTTGAGATCATGTGTTAACTTCCTCCATCTTTTTATTTCTTGCCCAGGATTCCTTTGGCTTTGGGGGTCCATCAAACTTTTAGAGTGTTTCCTCTGTTCCTTTCTTTAAAACAAAACAAAACACACAAAGAAACACAAAACAGCCGGGCAGTGGTGGTGCACACCTTTAATCCCAGCACTTGGGAGGCAGAGGCAGGCGGATTTCTGAGTTCGAGGCCAGCCTGGTCTACAGAGTGAGTTCCAGGACAGCCAGGGGTACACAGAGACACCCTGTCTCGAAAAACCAAACCAAACCAAACCAAACAAAACAAAACAAAACAAAACAAAAACCCACAAAACAAAACAAACAAACAAACTTTTTGCCAGGCAGTTGGTGGCACACTTTAATCCCAGCACTCAGGAAGCAGAAGCAGGTAGATCTCTGAATTGGAGACCAGCCTGGTCTACAGAAAAAGTTCCAGGATAGACAGGGCTACATAGAGATACCCTGTCTTGAAAAAACTGGGAGAAAAGATTGTTTTAAGTGTCTGTGTGTGTGTGTGTGTGTGTGTGTGTGTACATGTGAGTGCATGTTCACAGAGGTCATCAGATCCCTTAGAGCTGGAGTTTCAGGCAGTCATGGCCCTCCTGATGTTGGATGTGAATGTTGGGACCAAGCTCAGATCGTCTGTAGCAGCATTAAGGGCTCTTAGCTCCTGAGCAGCCTCTCCATCCCTGAACAGTTCTTTCTGTTCAATGAAGAACATTATCGGTATTTTGATAGAAAATTGAACTGAATCTATAGAACATTAGGAATATGGATATTTTAACAAATTAACAGTTTCATTCCATGGACAGGGGCTTTCTCTTCAACGTCTTCCACTGATATTTTCTGATTTCCATTTTAGAGATTGTTCCATTCTCTGTATAGCCATGGCTGTCCCAGAACTCTTTCTGTAGAGCAGGCTAGCCTTGAATTCAGGGATCTACCTGACACTGCCTCCGGAGTTCAGGGGTCAAAGGCATTTTCTAGATTTTTCTTTAATTATTATTTGTAGATTTATGAATGTGACTGGTTTCCTTCTGAATAAGTTTAAGTGCTTTTTAAAAAGCATAGAAAAAAAACCCACAGGAAGTTTTCTCTTTTTCTGTCTTCAGTGGAGCAGTGCTAGAGACTGGATCCGGGCTCTCACGTTTGCTAGACAAGTATTCTGCTCCTGAGCTGTGTCTGCAGCCGGTTTTTACCTTTTCGTGTGTGTGGAGACGATGATGTCAGGTATCTCCCCTCAGTCTCTCTCTGACTTTTTGTGTTTTGTTTGTTTGTTTGGTTGGTTGGTTTTGTTTTGTTTTGTTTTGTTTTTTGAGACAAGGACTTACTATGTTACCCTGACTGACTGAGAACTTGCTATGGAGCCCAGATCGGCCTCTGTTTCCCAAGTGCTGGGATTAAAGGTGTGAGCCACCACTGGTCAGCCAACCTACCTTCCTTCCTTCCTTCCTTCCTTCCTTCCTTCCTTCCTTCCTTCCTTCCTTTCCTCTTCTTTCACCCCCTTTCAAAACTGACTGGGGGTAGGAGTGGGGACCAGGTCAGAAAGGAAATGGCTTTTCTGAGGACAGGAATGTCCTCTGGGAATAGTACACGGACCAGAGGCATCAAAGTGGGTATGGAATCTAAGTGAAGTAGTGCCACAAAACTTGGGGAGGGCAAAGGGCAGGGTGTGGGTACAGCAAGGCAAGGTATCCATTGGTCATGGTGGCAGGCATGGGCAGGTGCAGGTCTATGAATTCTGTGTGACATTTGGGATCCAGGGCACTCAATACTCAGGGGTTTTGAATAGATATCTGGGTTGGGGTACAGACCATGAAGTGATTTGATATATTGGGGTGTCCTGGACTTACGTTTAGACAGTCACCTGATAGCTATCCATGATCAATTTCAAAGCCTGTGGCTGAGTGGGCCATCACATTGAGTGGGAGGGCTGGAGGGCCCAGTGGTCAGGTTGGAGCTGTCTGCTGAAGAGGATGAGCGGTGTGAGGCTGGCTCTGCAGTTCCTGAGTTGAGGGTGGGGAGGGAGAGAGAGCACAGATCAAATCTGCAGGCATGAAGCTTGGTCCTTCAGGGACACGGGTCGCCCTGTGTACATTGTCTGCACAGGCAGCTATAGGAGAAAGAGGGTTCCTTGATGACCCGTGGTGTAGAAGGCCAGTCAGAGAGAACGCTCCCCCTCACTCTGCACACCCTTAAGAGAGAAGAGGGGACACCAGTGGCTCCAGAAATCAGTTTTATTTTTCTCAGAAGCTCCCGGTTGGTAGCAGACAACCCCAGAAGGCACAAGGGTCACAATGTGAGAGAACACATGTATGTCTTCATTTACTCTCAGCTCCTTCGGAGTGGGGAGAGGTGAATGTGGAGTTCTCTTCTTGACTGGATGGGGATGCCCTGCTGTGCTAAGATCCTGAGATTCAGGCAGCAGCAGAGTGGCTGGGCGCCAGGCTGCCGACCCCAGGATGATTCACTTGGGGGCTTGATTCACTTGATTGGTCAGGGTTGAAATTGCTTTCTTCAGCTATGACAGAGAAACAGAGGATAGGGAGGAGGAATATTAGAAGAGGTGAGGCTGGAAGGAATTTGGTGGCCCCACCTCCTCACCTTTGCCCAGCCCTCAAGACCCCAGTACCTCCACCCAGGACACAGAGCCCACAACTCTGCCTCGTGACGTCACGAACAGCAACTGAAGGTTCAGGAGCTCAAAGAGGTTGTGTGTCTGCAGGGGGATTGAGAGGAAATGCTAACACCCCAATGCCCACATTCCGTCTCCTTGCCTGGTGAACAGATTGCAATGTGAAATCTGACCACTAGGAGGAGCCAGAGTCCACACGAGCAGCTGGATGAGGCCTCTGCTAGAGGGACCTGGCCACCTTCATCCAGCCACCTCCACCAGACCTCCACCTCCATCCCCACCCTCTAATCTCTCTTTACCTCATGCAGGGAGGTCTGCGGGGACAGCTGCAGTGTCACTGGCTGGGTAGGGCAGCCATTAGCCAAGATATCCTGGAGACAGGGCTGGGGATACGGGAAAGGGTGATGGGAACCTGGGTCCGCCACCAGCTTCTAGACCTTGATCTCTGAACTCTTCTAGGTTAGCTGTCCCCTCCCTTCACAGCCCAGCTCACCAACTCCATCCTGTCCCCGCATCTGGCAAGAGGACCCACCTGCTGGCCTGGAGCCCAGGAAGCCGGCTCAGTCTGGAGGGCTTGCACCAAGTGGATCCTTTTTACAACGCCCACCAGGGTCTGAGACTCTAACAAGTACAGAGGGAGGAACGCGTTACGAACATAGAACATTGTAAATGTAAGTCATATTCACTGAGTACCTACTGTGCGCCAAGAACATGATAGGTGCTCTCATGTCTGAGGAAAGTTTGTGTGTGACCTATTAGAGTTCTTATCACCCAGTTTACAAAAGAGAAAACTGAGGGTCTGGTGGGTTAATTGTTACTCTAAACCATTCAGTTTCCATAATGACATGGCAGCTGAGTGCAGCTCAGTAAGGCTGCCAGTGGGCGAGCAGAAATTCTGAGACACCCCACTCCCAACTCCATCACATTTTAGGAGGTTGGGGGCTGTGGACGTGAGCCTCTTGGCATCTGGGTGTCACAGCTGGGCTTTCTTCTCTGTTTTCCCTCCAGTTGTTTAAAATCTGAGTCAGGTCAATGAAAAAATGAACCCTGAGGTACACTCCAATCTGAGATCCTACTGAGTGCCGGGGCTAAGCCAGCTGGACTAGCCTGGATACAGGGAGGGAGTTTGCAAGCATCTTGACAGTCAGTAGGCATTCTTCACTGAAGATCCACTTTGATATTCTCTTTCTCCAGTAAATAAAAACCCTGGGCTGGATGGTGGTGGCGCACGTCTTTAATCCCAGCACTTGGGAGGCAGAGGCAGGCAGATTTCTGAGTTCGAGGCCAGCCTGGTCTACAGAGTGAGTTCCAGGACAGCCAGGGCTATACAGAGAAACTCTGTCTCGAAAAACAAACAAACAAAACAAACCAAAAAAAAAAAAAAAAAAAAAAAACCCTGGGGCTAGCCATGGCTGTAGCTCAGTGTCGGAGGGCTTGATTAGCATGCACTGGCCCTGAATTCAGTCCTTACCACCACAAACATACTTGGTAACCAGATAATACAATAGATGTGTCCCTCCCTCCTTTAATAAACCAGTGATTTCTAGGGTGGGCTGTGGGATCTAGCCAGGGCCCGTCTCTTTTGGAGTTCTGCGGGGCCCAAAGCCGTTCTTGGTTCTAGGAGGGGAAGCCGCTCAGAAGGACCATCCCTATGTAAAATAGGTAGAAAGTGTGTTTGCTGTGATCCCTCCCACTGGGGAGAGCAAAGCCCCGGACATTGGGGTGGGACCCTTCCCGCTTTCCATGCAAGGACACTCACTGCCGGTCATGGAGCCCGAGTGGTATCTCCACAAGGTTCTTTCCCTTCTTGGTGACTTTATTCTGCTTGATGTGGGGCATAGAGGTGACCTTGTTCATGCCTGTTGCTCACGGCTCAAGTGGCCTCTGCCCAAGGGCAAATGAGCTGCAGACCCAACAGTGTCACACTGACTGCGTTTGCACCCTGCCTCATTTGCATGGAAGGGACACATGGATGAACAGATGCCTGGGGAGGTTCAGGATGCTCCTCCCTTACCTGGGCTATCTTCCTCCCTTAAGTACTACGCTCTATGAACTGGAGAAGGGCACTCGGATTAGTCCCTCCCTAAGACTTAAACGCCATCCATCCGCCTGTAAAAGAATGAGCTCGGCTTGGCAGCGGGAACTGGGGAGGAGGGGAAGGAGTACTCAGGAATGTGAGAGGAAGCTTCTGGAGGGTCCTAGCAGTAATCCTGTTATCGGTGTCAGTGCATGAGGCTTGGGTCCTGGAATCCAAAGGGCCAGTCCCAGGCTGTCTTACAAGCACCTCTAATTTTTTTCACTAACCACATCATTCCTACTTTCTCCAGGAGAAGTGGCTATTGGGTCCGTTTTCTCCATGAAGAAACTGGAGCTCAGAGAAATTAGGGGACTTGCCCTTGGTCACTCAGCTAGATACCCAATTGCAGAGTCTAGATTAAGGGACAGATCTAACATCACGCTTGCTCTTGCTGCCCTGACACTCAGGGCCTTAGAGGGAAGCAGGAGGGAGCCCAACCCTCTTCCCAGACAGCCACCTTCTCCTCAATGACTGCTGAATACCTGTAGCCTCCACCAGAGGGTACTGGGTCACATCAGTGGAGATCACGACTTTGATCACTTCCTCCAGGAGCATGTCCTTGGCCAGTGTGATGAGGGCACAGTTCATGAAGTGACCCACAGTCACAGCCTGGGAACTGTGGGCGGAGGGAGGCATCGGTCAGGCCTGGGAATGGGAAGATACTGGCCCCTGGGAAAGGCAGGGTCATCTCAAGGAGCCTTGCTGGGAGAAGGCCTGATTCCCAAGGAAGGGTTTGGAGGAACCTATAGGTTCTAGAATGAGAAGCTAGGAGATCCACACCTATCTTAAAGACTGGGAAACTGAGGCTTGTTCGGAACTGGACCTTGGATTCGGTGACACTTGGAGCCTTTGAGATGCTAGGGTACAATCTGATCAAGGTGAGATCTCAGAGTCCATTTGTGTGCCCACCACCAGGAAGGCCATCAGAGCAGGGGAGAGTAAGAGAGGGGCCTCTCCTGTCTGGTGCTCAACTCCTCATCAGTCTTGCCTGACAGAGACTCAGCATCTTCATCTAGCACATGGGGCTGTGGGGATGCTGGGGACCAGAGGGCAGGTGTGTATCAGCCCCTACAACCCTACAGTCCGAGGCCGGCTGTGCTGGGGTTTTCCAGGAGTCCCTCCACCCCAACCACCCTGAGCATCACCACACCATCAGCCAGCCTGAGGCTCACCCAATCTTACGGCCACGAATCCATGGCAGATATGGCAGTTTCTTGACAATGATGGTGCCGTCGTAGAAAGAGGGCTGGAAGCTCTGAGAGATGGCATTGGCCACCAGCACGGCCATCAGCACTGGCAGTGCATGAACGATCTGGCCGGTTACCTCAAAGGCCAGCAGGGCCGTGGAGAGGGTGTGGGTCACCGCCCCTGAGAAGGCAGCAGCGCCTGCAGGGACACAGCCAAGGTGGGGGTCCCAGGCCAGGAGCCAGCATCACCCAGGGGGTAAAGTGGGCACAGTGTGACCATGGTTAGGTTCAGCAGTGCACAAAGAGCACACACTGCAACTGTTGAAGTACCTAGTCACACCAAGGGAAAAGAGATGTAGACAGGGGGAGGAATGGGGAAAAGAAAAATAAGAGAAAGAAGACGCTTCAGGGATGGTAGGTCTCAAGGAGTGGACAGGCCTACTGAGGAAAGGACCCACCTGCTGGTCCCAGAGCCACTCACCCGCCAGAGCATAGGCCCCAGGCATGATGGGATTGACCTTGCCTCCAGCCACAATGCCTTCTGGGAAAGCGACAGACAGGGCCTCTCCCAAGAGGCGCCCGATGGCAGCTCCTGCCACAGATTCAGGGTGAAGGAATCAACCATGCTGACCTGACCCCTCAGGCCCTCAAGCCTTGCCCCATCCCCAGTCCCACACTTGGAGGGAGATGGTCCTGGGCAGTCATGCCCTGTGCCCTTAAACCCTCTCAGACATTCAGGACTCCAGTCCTACCATAGACAAAGATGGGCAAGAAGTATCCAGCGGGGATGGGGATGGTGGTCGCCAAAATCAGCATCCAGAACTGTAGGGAGGTTGGACCCACATGGCAAGAGTTAGAAGCAACACAGAGGGCAAGGGGGGATGGGAGGTTACTAGAGGAAAGGGTGCCCAGGCTAGAGCCCACGGCAGCATTTGGCTCTGGAGATGAAGAAACCAAGCCTTGATAAAGCACCCACTGTGCGCAAGCACGTGCCAGGTTTGTTCCTCTCTTCTCTCTCAGCCTGCCCTTTAAGAACAACCATTCCATCTCAAAGAATAGCAGGGAGGGGGCGGAGTGACTGCTTTTGCCCTGAGCTTGACCACTTCGGTCTACTTCAGTCTGGTCCCTGGAAACCACAAGGAGGAAGGCAGTTCTGCAAGCTGTCCTCTGAGCTCCACATTGCACTGTGGCATACTGGGGACACACTCACGTGCATGCACACATGTGCGTGTGCAACACACACACATTTTTGTAAAGAATAAGGGAACCAAGTGCCATGGGTGGTGACTGTCATCTAGGAACTGGGAGGCTGGGGCAGGCAGGAGGAGTACAAGTCCCCGGAGAGCCTGGGCTACACAGTGAGACTGAACCTCTCAGATGAAGGAGGGAAGGGGAGGAGTTGAGCCTGGGGGGATTTCTTTCTGAGGTACACAGTGGACGTGGACCTAGGAGGCGGTGCTCCAAGCTTTAATTCAGGAAGCAGCCCCACCTCGCCCAGGACTTGCCATGGCTCTGATTATACAAGGGACCCACCTTCATGACCAGGAAGAAGACTAGTGTCCCAAAGACAGTCAACTGTGGATGACACCATTCCAACCACAGGTTCTGGGGATCAGGCTCTGCGGCCCAGGGTGGGGACGAGTTCTTGGTCATCAGGGCCCAAGAGTTGTTATCAAACAGAGTCTCCAGATGCTCCGACATGGACAGCTGGGCCGAGCAGAGGTGGGTAGGTCAGCATGCCCACCTCTGTCCCATTGCCCATCGGAGCTCGGCTCCCTTACCCCTTCCTGGCTAGGGACCCTAAGGATGACTCTGCCATGGCACAGCTACAACCTGTGTCCCGAAAAATGACCCACAGGCATTTTCCTTAGTGGGTTTCAAGGGGACTGGGAGAAAATACACACAACAGGGACTACAAACAGGGGTTCTTCACTGCTACCCCCCAGCTCCGTGCCCCTTACCCGGGAAGCCATGAAGCGACCCACACCAGGGGGATAGGTGATGGAAGCCAGGACTACAGCGGCCAGAGCTGAGTATAAGGGCTTGCTGTGGGAGAAGGGAAGATGTAGTTTGCCTCCTCTCCTTCCCCACAGCCTTAGGGTTCACACTGAAGAAAGGGGTACGGAGAAGGAAGAAACAACAGCAAGGAAACTCCCAGGTACCCCGACCCCAGTGAGACCAGGAAACCTGATGGGACTAGAGGCGAGATGGGGGCAGAAAGGGACCGGAAAATGGATTAGCTAACCACAGACGACTGGCCTAGGCCATAAAGCAGGAGATGGAGAGGAGAGGACACAGGGCTCAGGGAGGGGACATGGATCAGAGGGACACAGGGAGGCAGTTAATTTTCACAGAAGTGGGGCAGTGGCTGCTGGACCTGACAGGGGACTTCGTGTGAGATCAGATAGGTAGTACTTTGGAGGGTTAGTGGAAAGAGGGGTTCTGTGAAAGGGGTGGAACTTTACGGGAGTTCGAAAGTGGGGCACTCCCTGAGGGGGCCCCAGCCCACCTGGTAGCCAGCAGTTTGGAGGTGAACCCATTGACCTTGATGAAAAATAAGAAAGTCCGCTGGCAGTAGTTGTACCCGCAGCTCAGGATGCCACAGATGGCCCTGGAAGTGGAGGTGGCGGTGAGGCTGAAACCACCTCAGCTTGAGCATTGCTTTCTGGGTTTTACACCCCACTCACCCCAGGGCCACAAAAAAGAAGATCTCTGGTAAGTCAAAGGGTATGTCCACTGGAAAACTGGTCTTGTAGACAGACGTGATGGTCTCTGAGGAAGGAAGAAAGTGGGGTCCTGTGCCAGCCTTCCC